ATGCAGCTCTCTCCAAACGTGGCTTTCTGGGGCCATTCCCACAACCTGGACCCCTTACCAACAAGCGGATGGAGCAGAGGTGTCACCTCGCTTTTCCTCATGAATTCAAAGGCAGGCCATGGGGCTCAGCGAGTTTCTGAATGCCCCGCTCCTCCTACGCATCCTGCCTGAATGCCGCAGCTTTCCGAGTTCAAAGAGCTGTGGCGTCCACACCCCCTTGGGCTGGATTACTCAATTAGGGATTATGCTTCTGCCAGTCACCTCCTAGCCAACTGGGGCCTCTGCCAAGGTCAACACAAGTTCCAGCCAGTTTCATTAATAGCGGTGAGACCCAGCCCACTGGAAACTCTGAGAGGTTAATCCCAGAAACAGATGAACATTCCCATAACAAAGCCATGAAGAAAAAAACAGAACAGAAAACACAGCTGGTAGTTTACCAGCTAACCGTTCCGACTAGCTGCATTAGCAAGTTCAGGGCAGGTTGCAGACCAGCCCTGCATACAAGCCCTAACCACACTCCTGACATCTCACCTGAATCTCTAGCTGGGCCATAGCGTGGGCGAGCAGTTAGTGGGTGAGAGGTCACTGGAGTTTGAGATTTATGGACAGCTGAGCCTGTAGGGGTCACTAACCTTGAATTTCAGTTACTTCTAAACCCACGGCCACCTCTCACAGAGGAAGGGAAAGATTTATTTGAGGAAGTCTAGCTCGGAGTGGCACTGCCAAGACACCGCACAATGGAAGAGAAATGAATAGGAAAACACAGGAAACAGGACTATTGAATGCCTTAGAAGAGGTCTTTAATCCCTTGCAGGGCTGCATTCAAAGCATTAGTTAATGGGCTACTGCCTTTTCCATTGTAAACCCTGTTTTCCAGGAATTTATTGTGACCTGGTCTCGGGAACGTGCAGTCAGGGTGAAACTTGGCAAGTCAATTGTTCGCCTGAACGTGTCATTACAAGTTTATTTTAAAAGGGTTAGTTTGGTCATTTTAAATATTTTTTTTAAATCTACATCAAATCATAACCCCTTTAGTTCTGAACACTTTGGTTCTGTCAAACCTATGTCTTAGCCTGGGTGCCATCACCTTTTCATAATGCCCCCTCCCCATTATTATTCTAGGAGTTACGGGTCTGAAACAAAAATGTTTTATGTACAAAGACAAGCAATAAAAGAACTAGCCAACAATGGAAGTCACAATTCCAAGGGAGCATCTGAGTAATAATAATAATAATACCACCACCCAGCTCTTCTGTAATGTTTTTTCTTCACTAGATCCCAAAGGAGGCCAGTATTATCTCCAGTTTACAGAGATTCAGCCATGCTGCCTATGTATGTATAATCTATATATGTACATGAAAATCTCCTCCGCCGCTAGGATCAATGCAGAGACTCAAGGCGTGCTGTCTTTCGTCTGCATGGCTGGTGAATACACAGCAACGGAGACATCCGTTCATCTGCACATGAAACACGTGGGGGAGGAGGGAGCAAAGCTAGCAAAGATAAACTTGTAAAAACCAAGGGGAATGATGAATAAGTGTGAACACTAAGGTGGTGCTAAAAAAAGCAGTGTGACAGCAAAGGCCAAGTGTCTGCAAGGACAGTGCTAAGCGGGGATTAGCAACAAGGACCCGAGGACACACATACAATGCGCCATTTCACAAAGTCACAGGTGCTACGTGGGAAAGCTGACAGCATCCACAGAAGGGATCTTCACAGTCACTCATGAAGAAGTCACTGGCAGCAAAAGGAGAGAATCCCAGGCCAGCATGTAGAAGAGGTACTCCCTTCAGCCACACACCCAGGCAGAGGGTGATCATACTAGTGAAGATTTACTTCAGATCAGAAGTCAGTGTAACTCTGCCAGGAGTGGAGAAATATTGCTGAAGATTTAATTAGACGAGCGAGCTGGGGTGCCTATATAAGAATGGATTAGAATAACTCCATGAAGGCTAGTAGTTATTTTAGATGTACACTGACACCAGTGAGTGCCAAAAGGTGGCCTTTCTTGGTTTAGGGTAGAAGACAGCCTTGTTCTATTATGGGGGCAAATGGCCTAGATAAACCCAGAGGTCCCTTCCAACCTGGTCTATAAGGCACTGAAAAGGCATACGATGGATCTTCTGGGATGAAGGGTTCTAGCACCACACCTGTACTAGGCTTTCAAGAGATGTTGGAAGCCCTCACCTCCCTCCACTTCAGTGGGAGCTGAGGACAATCAGCAATCCATAGTACGGGGCTAAGAGAGATCACTTAATTTCATTTCCTGGGTGATGGAACAAAGAAAAATTTCAAATGATGATTTCAGGCTCCACTAAGATTCCCACCAGTTTGAAAGAGCAGATCCTGTTCTCAATACAGACTCTGAAATTTCAAATCCCTCCAGTAGGAGCATATTTCTCCTGAATTGTATCTCACTGATATATTTTTTTTAACAAACACTTGACACTCCCAGAAAGTGACCATAAGACGTGTCACAGACCAAGAAGCAACTGCTCTCTCTCTCTATACTCATTAGCTAAGTCTTCCAAGTGGCTTAGCTTATACATTTCTCTCTGGAAAACATCATAAGAATGGCCAAACTGGTCAGACCAAAGGTCCATCTAGCCCAGTACCCTGGCTTCCAACAGAGGCCAATGCCAGGTGCACCAGAGGAAATGAACAGAACAGGGAATCATCGAGTGATCCATCCCATATCACCCATTCCCAGCTTCTGGCAAACAAGGCTAGGGACACCACCCCTGTCCATCCTGGCTAATAGCCATTGACGGACCTATTCTCCATGAACTTATCTATTTATTTTTTGAACCCTGTTATAGTCTTGGCCATCAAAAGTGTTGACTGAAATAATGTGTAGATAGAGAAGCTTGTGACAGTTTCTCCACAAGAGCTTTTTGCTTTAAACCACATAGCTGAAGGGTTTGTTTTCCACCCCATCACAAGGTATCTAATCCAGCAGTCAGCTGAACACATGGTTCCATCCCAATGGTGTTGAAAGAAAAACTCCGGGGTGGTCACAGTACCTCCTCATTGATGATGCTTTCTGGAACAGTAGCGGCTGTGGAATGCAAGGGGCTAGGGTGCCCAGGAAGGGTTATTTCAGAGGAAAATACTATCAAGGCTGTAGGGGAGAGATCTGATTCACCTGGGGAAGGTGTCCTAGTCCCACATAGTACTGGTCATTAAGTGCAGACTGCTCTACCCCTTTCCAATGGAGTCTCACTAATTATACACGAGGTGGGTATTCACCCACGAAAGCTTATGCTCCAATACATCTGTTAGTCTATAAGGTGCCACAGGACTCTGTCACTTTTCACTAATTATGTTAGTCTCTAAGGTGCCACAAGTCCTCCTGTTCTTCTTTTTACAGGGATCTGAGCCATCAGAGCACCGGTTGTATCAGCTTCATTCCAGAGCTTCTCCCCCACCACCAGGGAGGTCCACCATAATAGTCCTCTGGGATTCCTGAGCATCCTCATTCTCTCCAGCTTTGCACCCTTCTAGTTGAAACTACATGTCTTTCCCGCTCAGGACGGCTTGATGAGATTCCCCTGGAAGCCGAACAATGCCGTTCTCTTTCTTAGGTGGCATCTCCATTACTGGAGGTTTGCAACCATGGTCGCCCATGCCTCTAGATCAGGAGAAATCGCCATGTTCTGGCACTCCCAAGCAGGAAAGCAATTAGCGTGAAACGCACACACGTTACCCCTAGATTTGGATACTTAACCTATTCATTTTCAATGCAACTTGGGTCCAGTTTTATTAATCAACGGGCTCAGAGTCCAAAGAACTCACATCGACAGCCCAGAATTAGATGCACCATAAAAATGAGCTATGGCTCTATCAGGCTAATGCCATCTGTCTGCCAACGCTGAGAGACATGAATCTGGACAGAATTTCAGACGGAGGGAAAAGTCAAATGCTGTTTATCCAAACGCAGCATCAAAACTGATCCAAATAAGCAGGAGTTCACTAAGCTGGGGATTTTTAAATCACAGTTATTACAGGGGGAGGCAGTGCCGTTTCAGATAAATGAGTTATTTTGTTAAATGAGGTTCGGATGAGGGAGGCTTCATTGTGTAAGATTATAAAGGGCTGCTCTTCCCGCCGTTCAGTGTGTGTAACTTATTCTCCTTCATCGAGATGACTCAGAAATGTTCACAGCAAGGGAAGTACAACTGTAATGAGGGGAACAGAGCCACCAGCCAGCCACAGAACACTTCACACACAGCTAGCAAATAGACAGACAGGATGAAAGAAAAAGATCAAGTAAAATTACATCAGAGGGCCCAATATCCAGAGGAGCAGGGCTTCCCAACGCCATGCGGGGTCAAGGGCAGCGTCAAGCTGCTCTAGTGACTGGAATGTCTAACAGCCTAGTAAACGCATGCATATTATACTAGTTACAATGAAAACCTACACCCCTTAGAACAGGGCATCCAGCCCTGACAACATCTAGCAGAATGCTAGAGCCATCAAGGCTGTATTGCATCAAATGGTGCATGGAGCTTTCAAGGAACTACAGAATTACAGGCCCCATAGGTAAGGCTAAGATTATGTCACAGAGGTCACGGATTTTGTGATTTCCAGAGACCTCTGAGACATTTTCTGCTTCAGCCCAGGGTGGCGGGGCTGGAGCTGTCAGCTGGTGGGGGCCCCCGCAGTTTCCAGCCGCTGCAGGTGCCCAATGTTCCCAGCTGCCGCAGGTGCTGGAGCCCCCCGCAGCAGGGCTCAGGCTCTCATCTCCCCGTCAGCCCCTTCTGTCACAGTTATTTTTAGTAAAAACGAGGGACAGGTCACAGGCTTCCGTGAATTTTTGTTTATTGCCCGTGACCTGTCCCTGACCTTCACTAAAAGTAACTGTGATAAAATCTTAATCTTACCCATAGGCAACCTGTAGGAGCCAGGCAGTAAAGCAAATGCAATTCCCACAGGCGCCATAGAACACATGGGCTGCACCTGCTTAGCGCCCTAAGGCTGTGTGGGGCTCTTTTCCTTACCTTTGAGAGATCTTCCGTCCCTCCCTGCTGATTTTGGTTGAGTAGAGGCGAGTGCCGCATCAGCGAGTCTTGCAGCAGGTCCAGCCGCGGTCGTTTGGTTTCAATGAACTCTATTTCTGACTGTTTGCTCATGTCAGAGAGATAGGAGTGGGGCTCGGCTCTCAGGTGTAACTCCTGCGCCCTGGGGAGAAAGCGAGAGGCAGTTTTAGAGTCACAAGCAGCCATTCTAGCAGGCACGGGGCTCCCGCGTTTCCACATTGAGAATTCCTAAAAGGTTATAACCCGACAAGGGAGGATAAAGTGTTCAACTTGATTTACACTTCCCAGGCAGCTAAAAACCGGTGCTCGTCGGTTTTGTGCCTCACAACACACACCACACCCCTCCCCCCCCTGCGGTAGGCTATCCAGGGAAAAGATGGACTGGCGGGAACGGCACCAAATGGGGATTCAGAAGATCTGGATTCATTTCTCAACTCTGCCAATGACTTCTTGTCTAGTCCTAGACAAATCACTAGATTTCTCTGTCCCTCAGTGGTTTATCTGTAGGGCCCTTTGTTTTTAGTTTTTATTTTATTTAATTTTTCCCAGGAATTTATCAATGTTTATTACTACAATAACAAAAACAGGTAAAAATCGGTGGGAAAAAGATTAATTTTGCAGGGTAAATATCGAGGTTTATTTTGGTGGACGGAAGGATGGGGGAAAGTATTCAGTAGATCAGCATTTCTCAAATTCTGGATCAGGACCCCAAAGTGGTTCGTGACCAGTGTTCCCTCTAATTTTTTACATCCATGTGCGGAATGAATTTTGTTATGTGCATCAATATGGAGGGGATATGTGACCTTCATATTGGTGCACATAACAAAATTCATGTGGTGGGGGCGGGGCCGAGGGGTTCAGAGTGTTGGAGGATGAGGGCTCTGGCTGGGGGTATAGGCTCTGGGGTGGCGCTGGGGATGAGGAGTTTGGGGTACAGGAGGGGGCTCAGGGCTGTGGCAGAGGGTTGGGGTGCGAGGGGGTGCGGGCTCTGGGGTGGGGCTGAGGGGTTTGTGGGAAAGGAGGGGGCTCAGGGCTGGGGCAGAGAGTTGGGGTGGGGCCAGGGATGAGGGGTTCAGGGTACAGGCTGCCCTGGGGCTGCGGTGGGGAGAAAGGACTCCCCCCAGTCCTCTCTCACCGCAGCAGCTCGGGGTTGGGGGAGAGGCGCCTCTCCCCAGCCATGGCAACTCCGGCACGGCTAGGCAGAGGGAGGGGCTCCTCTTCCCCGGCTGTGACAAGTCCGCACTTCGGCAGGCGGGAAGGGGCTCCTCTCCCTGGTAGCTCCGGCGGGCCTAGGCCAGGCTGGGCCGAGGGTGGGGTTTCTCTCCCGCAGCCCTGGTAAGACCAAGGCAGCTCTATGCTGGGGCTGGCGGGGAGGGGTGCCTCTCCCCTGCGCGGGGTTTAATAGGCAGCTGCACAACCATGCAGCTTAGAGGGAACTTAGGTCGTGACCCCCTTTTTAATGGGGTCGCCAGGCCTGGCGTTAGACTTGTTGGGGTCCAGGGCCAAAGCTAGAGCCTGGGGTGGCGGGTCTCAGGTTACAGCCCCCTCACCTGTGGCTGAAGCCCTGTGGCTCCGGCTTTGGCCCCCATGCCCGGGGCAGTAGGGCTCAGGCTTTGACTTTGGCCCTCCTGTCTGGGGCTGCAGGACTTGCGGGGGCTCAGGCTTCAGTCCCCCCTCCTGGGGTCGTGTAGTAATTTTTGTTGTCAGAAGGGGGTCGCAGTGCAATGAAGTTTGAGAACCCTGCAGTAGATTAATGCTTCGATGAATGGAATTCAATGTGGTTTGCCGCAGAACTAAAACAGCCACCTCTGAGTTTGAGAAAACAATACATCTCTAATCCCCAAATAAAACTTTTTATTTGAATAAACAGTTTACTGTTGTAAACATAGAACGATTAGTCTATAAATATTTAGATTTAATAATTGGGCCCCACCATTTGTAGCACATACATTCAACTTAATCCTTTTCTCCTGTTTTTGTTTTAAACTTTTGAATAATTCCTGGTGTTCTGAACTGTAAATCGGAGCTGCTGGAAGCGGCGCGGGCCGAGGGACGTACAGGCCCCTGCTTCCAGCAGCTCCCATTGGCCTGGAGCAGCGAACCGCAGCTAGTGGGAGCCGTGATCGGCCGGACCTGCGGATGCGGCAGGTAAACAAACCGGCCCGGTCCACCAGGGGCTTTCCCTACGCAAGCGGCGTCCCAAGTTTGGGAAACACTGTTCTAGACTAATACATATAGCTTTACTTCAACAGGCAGCTTTGCATATACACACAGACTAATGTATTATCGTAATACATAGAGCTCATGCAATGTAATGTGTTTTCCTAATAAAACAAGTTATTTGATTGATACAAAAGCAGGGTGAAAAAATCGGGGGGGGGGGGGGACCGTCACCAGGCTTTGGGTCAGGCCCAAAGCAATTAAAGAGAGGAGGGATCCTCCTGAAAACAATCACATTCAGTCCATTTGATGTGAAAGTTTTCTGTAAATGCACCAACGGGTTTCCATATCAAATGAATTTAGTTTATGAGATAAAGAAGCCCCCAATCCCTCAACTGTTGGGCTTGCAAACTCAGCATGCGTTCCAAGAAGCAAGCCAGGATCTTGCATATCACCACCAGTAACAAAGATTCTGCAGGCCAAACTACACTGCCAGTGACAACCCCCATTGTCTGCCATGGGCTTGGCACAGGGGAAACTGCTGGAGTTCAGTAAACAATTCTGCTGATATACAGACAGGAATCAAATGTGGCTTGTTCACTTTCAGTTGAGGAGATAAGAGGATAAAGATCAGTTCCACACTTGCATTATTTTTGCCACTTAAGCCTCCAAGTATAGCAGAGAGGAAATTTGCCCTTTACGTAGCTACTTTTCAAAGTAAGACTCTGAAATACCGATCATTTCACTTGAATGATACGGCGCTTTTCTAGCCAGCCTTGAAACACCCTGTGGCACCTCTCAAGTTTCCTGTTGTTCTGCCCAGTCCCCGGGGGGCAAATTCTGTCTACCCACCACTGCAGTTCAACATTTCATGTTCTGCTCTAAACACTAAATAACAAACAGCAACTGCTGAGCAGGGAGGGTGTTAAAATATTTCAACACCCAGACTCTGGTGCACAAAGGTAATTAAAATCAGAATCCTGTTTTCTTAAAGCATATATTACCAAGGAGCTGCTAATTGCCAAGAGACTGGTCTGAAGCTTTAGGACTTGCAAAAAACCCCACAAACCTAGATTCAAGCGTATTCATTACATTGAGACATTTTTCAAGATAAAATAATACAATTTTAAGATCACAGTTCTCTACCATGACTCAGGACTATACTGTGCCAAGCAACTATTACATTATAGGCTACTTATTTTCTTTCCATTTCCACATCCACTGGAACGTCTGTTGACTTTCATCCTGAGGAATTTCAAACTGCTCCTGAGATTACTTTACCCAATACAATTCCTTCAGCCTTTCTTGTTTGGAAATAAAATGCTATTGCTAGAAATCTTCACACCTTTCATTCTCCACATTCACGCCTGTAGCGAGATCTTTACAATGGACTTTTATGCAGCAATGGCACTGCCATTAGAGTAAAAATAACTCCCGCTAGAAAAAAGTTTAGTTACATTCTGTTTCAGTTAATGTTGCATTTTCTCCAAAATAGACCCACCTGGCCATTTCATTCCAGAAATTTCCAGTTCTTGAAGTGGGCTGTAGTCCACGAAAGTTTATGCTCTAATAAATTTGTTAGTCTCTAAGGTGCCACAAGTACTCCTGTTTTTAAAGGAAAAGAGCGTTTCTAATGTCATGTTCAATTGCACAACCAGTAACTAAACACCAATGGGCTAATCTTTGGCAACCGACACTTGGAATTAGTAAAGTATAAACTGTTAGGATTTCATGCAAATTACTAAGCAACTCCCAGTGCAATCAAATGCGTACTGAGAGTACTCATCAAATTGCAGGGTCAGGCATTGTTGCAGATGCCCTCCTACAAATAGATTTTTTTGTCATACTGTACTCATGGCTGCTTTTAAGTCTGTATCATTTATAAAAGTGGGGTTGTAACAGGCTTGCAAGGTTTGCCAGAAATGGCTAGGAAAGTGTTACGTGGATTTTGTTGCTTCACTGACTAAGGTGTCATTAGTTGAACATAAAGGAAGTTGAGCGTGTTTTCCTCTAGGGGGAGACACGCTCTAGGGGGTGTGCTGAGCAGAAGGAACCCTGGGAGCAGCGAAGCCAGGGAAGACCTGAGCTGATCTTGACTTTGTTTTGTTAGCAAAGTCAAATCTCCAGGAGGGGGTGCGCTTGAACTTTTCAAACCGTAAAGATAAAATAAATAATAATAATTAATAATGAATAAAGTTCTTGCATTAACTAAAACTGCCCTCAGTGTCTCTCAGAAGGACATCACTTTGTTCCTCAAATCAACGGAACCTTTTGGGTTCTCCTTCACGTCTTTTATAACCACGTTCTCCAATGGGCTGCCAACTCTGGGTGAGACAAAAAGCGGGATGAGGCCAAAACCTTTAACACTATTACATATTTTTCAGACTTATCACCATTCCTCTGGCAATAATGAAGTTCCTCGCTATTTAAATGGAAGTGTTATCTTTAAAGGACACACTCAACGCCAGCAGACCAAAAAAAGGGACCCACGAGATGGGATTTTGATACGTGCACACAGCACTTTCCCCCAGTTCTGAGTTTGGAGCATGCCTGGTCTTTGTCGGAGACCCCAAGAGATATTCTAGTGCTCTGAGCACTTCCAAAGAGAATCCTGTGACTGGAGAGATGCTGAAATTCATCACACACACGCATCCTGGACTGGTTCTGTAAAGTTGCTAGAAGTGTCGTTTTAATTTAAAGTCAGTCTGTAGGCCTGACTTTGGTGAAAAAACATCCTTTTTAGAGATCTGGCAGGAAGTACTGCATGGAAGTGCCCAGAACACTGCTGGCAGCACATAGATTAATGAGGATCATATAAAAGATGTGTAATTTCCAAAGCAGTTAATGCTTTGGACCCATTAACTTTAGCAGTCTCTCTTTGAAATATACATCAGAAAAATCATTTTACACAAGGGCTCCCAATCGATGAGACTTTCCTCAGAAGCGACCTAGAGTAATTGAAAATGGTGACAGTCCCACACC